GGACATTTTTGCAATGGTGGACACTTTTGTAAATGGACACAAAAAAGTGGACATTTTGTGAAATTTCCTCTTAATTAAATCAACACCCGTGCGGAAAATTAACATTCATGACTATTTTAACTTGTACTATATTAATTATTTATGTTTGATTCTCAATCTTTATTCCGCTCTTCAATTTTTTCCTCTTTTCAGTAGAATAGTAAGTTAGACAAAATTGTTCTTTAGGTGGAAGGGCTTTTGAAAGACATTTCCATTTGAGCTCAAGTAAAGTTAATTTTTTGGAAAAAATTGTTATTTGGAATTGTGATTTTTGAAGAATGCGTGCGTGGTTAAAAAAGAATGAAAAGTTTTGAATTTACGTGTAATATTATTTTATTGAAGAACGCAGGATTGAAAAGAACAGAAAAAAAAATGCATTTTGAATAAAATGAAGTCCAAACATGATGTTAGATTCATTTTGGTCATTTGAAGAGAAATATTTTATGAAGAAATATATTCAAGCTGTTTAATGACATGAAGAAAGTGAACGAACCACTTTTTCACTTGTTACTCTCATTCCCCAAGGCCGGAGCTGGGATTATGAAGACCAAGTCATTGTAACTTGTTAGGTTCATTATCCTCTGTTGATTTAATTTTTTTTGCTTATAATTTATATTCGAGTTACTTTTTTCTAAAGTAGCAAATCCAATTGTTAATAATTAGAAATGGGGATGAAAATGCTGCTTATAAGTAATCAATAAAACAGCCTAAATGATTAGTCGTATCAGTTGAGTCAATCATCGTTGAAAGAGGTACAAAAGGGCCAACTTATGGGCATGCGTTGTCCTGAGTTTTGTATAGGGCTAGTCTCGATCCATTTTGAGTCACATGCCTATCTCAAATTGGGTCGGGACGAGGACTACGTATTATTTTTGAATTTTGTTTATTTTCGCCCCACCAGCCTCTTAAATCTAAGTGAGCGTAGTTCACTTTGACATCACTAATCGAACACAGACTGTATTTGTATCGACAGGTTGAAGTTAAACGAAAAGGGCGTTGCAGAGCAAGCTTGAAGGGTCATATAATAGTATCAAATTGAAATAATCAGTAGAGGGCGGGGAGAAGATGCAGCAGGAGCCCGATTGACTACTTTGCTGGTTACCTCATCCTCATCATGTTTACACAGTTTTCAATAAAATAATATTACACGTAAATACAAATTTTTTTTGTCTTTTTTAATCACACATTATTCAAAAATTCACTATTTCATATTAAATTTTCCCCCAAAATTTAGTTTCAATGGGGCCCAAATGGAAATGTCTTTCAAAAGCCATTCCACCGAAGGAACAATTTTGTCTTACTTTCTATTCCACTGAAAAGAGGAGGAAAGTGCAGAGCAGAATAAAATCATTAATGGCAGACAGAAAAGGTGAAAGAAAAGAAATAATCTCCTAAAGTAAAATTAATTATGCTACACGTAGATTACAACTTACAATTTGGTGAACATACAAACGATGAGGTGAGATATAATGTGATCAAAATTTCTTCAACCAAAAAAACACTTCTCCACTTTCTTTTTTGACACCTCATCTATCTGTAAAATTTTATTCATCTCCTTATGTACAAGTAAAATTATTCAAAAAAAGATTTGTAACTATTTCTCTAGTGTACTATTTATATCTTCAATCCAGGATTGCTACATGCAGAAAGAAAAATTGTCACGCAAATGGCTAATTACTTTCTTGGTGCAATTTTGTTGGTGCAGTGTCTAATGGCCTGCTTAGCCATGGCGACAACCAATATTACGACAGATCAATCTTCTCTGCTCAGCTTCATAGCCCACGTAAATTTAGATCCTTCACACATTTTATCGAAAAATTGGTCGGTTTCTACTTCTGTTTGTGTCTGGATTGGAGTTACTTGTGGTCCTCGCCACCAAAGAGTGACTGCCTTGGATATTTCTAGCATGAATCTTACTGGAAAGATACCTTCCCAACTGGGAAATCTATCCTTCCTTGTTTTTATCGACTTAAGCGGAAACTATTTTCATGGTAGTGTTCCTCAAGAGTTGATCCAACTCCGACGGCTAAAAATCCTGGACTTCAGTTCCAACGACTTTAGTGGCGAAATTCCTTCATGGCTTCATTTCTTACCTAAATTACAACTTTTGGAACTTAGAGAAAACAGTTTTACAGGTTTCATCCCACCTTCTCTCTCTAATATATCCATGCTCCAGCATTTGGATCTCTCTTCCAATCCTCTACAAGGGAAAATCCCAGAAGATATTGGAAATCTTCATAACTTGAAAACACTTGCATTACAATATAACAGACTCACTGGTGTAATACCATTTCAGATTTTCAACATATCCACAATGGAAAGGCTTGGTTTTACAGGGAATAACTTGACTGGTAATCTCCCTCTTCAAATATGCCATGGCTTCCCAAGACTCCAAGGGCTTTATTTATCTGAAAATGAATTGGGTGGTGAAATTCCTTCCAATCTATCAGAATGTTTACAACTTCAGATGCTTTCTTTGTCATACAACAAATTTAGTGGATCCATTCCAGGAGAAATTGGGAGAATACGGACGCTTGTGAATTTATATCTTGGTTCAAATGATTTGTCCGGTAAACAAATCACTATATTTTTTTGTTCAAAGAGATCTTCATTCACAGAATTACTAATGTTATTCAGATCACCATTTTGGTAATTGTAGTCTATCGTTCTGTTTTAATAATTTCACAGGGGCAATTCCACATGAGTTGGGTAACCTGGAGAACCTCAAGGAGTTGAGCATGGGAAATAATTTTCTTAATGGCTCTATACCAGCCAGTATCTTTAACATTTCACCACTGCAACATATTGAGATTAGTAGCTGCAACCTATCTGGTAACTTTTAATTAGATTCAAAACAACTTTACGTTTGTCCTAGTTTGTATTTTTATGAAGAAGAACAAATAATGTCATTTCTTTTAAAGTTTAAGCACTATATAATTTTGTAGGTGGAATCCCACAAGAGATTGGCAATGCAAATTTATCTGAACTCATTGAGATATACCTGCTTTCCAACAATCTTAATGGACCAATTGCAAACGTCCTAGGGAAGTTGAGCTTCATTGAAATCGTAGACTTGACTGAGAACAATTTCATTAGTGAAGCTCCAGAATTGAGCTTCATCACTTCATTGACAAGCTGTAGGTATTTAACAACATTGGCTTTTGGCAACAATCCTTTGAATGGCATTCTTCCATTTTCAATTGGAAATTTGTCCACTTCTCTTCAATATCTTTACGGTTATAATTGTGATGTCCGAGGTAGCATTCCAAATGAAATTGGAAATCTCACCAGTTTGATATTGTTAAGTCTGTATGGCAATGAGTTGACGGGATCAATTCCAGAAAGCATGGTGAATTTGCAAAAGCTTCAAGGATTAGGTATTTTAAACAATAAAGTAAGTGGATCTATCCCGGACTCTCTCTGTGAACTTCACAGTTTAAATGTTTTGTCATTGTCACAAAATCAAATATCAGGTTCTATTCCAGGGTGCATAGGGAATATTACTACACTTGGTTCTCTATATATCGATACCAACAGATTGACTTCCAGCATACCTGCAAGCCTGTGGCTCCTGAAAGATCTTCTGCAGTTGAATCTATCTACAAATATTTTGAGTGGATCTATTCCTCAAGAAATTGGGAACCTGAAGGTTGCATTTCTTATTGATCTATCAGTTAATCGATTCTCAGGTAGTATTCCAAGCACAATTGGGGATTTACAGACCTTGAGTAATCTTTCCTTAGCACATAACGCACTGCAAGGATCTATTCCGGAGTCAGTGGGTAAGATGCTGAACTTGGAGCAACTCGATCTATCTCACAACAATCTTTCTGGCAATATCCCCAAGTCCATGGAGGCACTCAAGTATCTCACGTACTTGGATGTTTCTTTCAATGATTTAAGTGATGAAGTTCCTTCTGGTGGTCCTTTCAAAAACTTTACAAGTAAATCCTTCATGTCTAATGAGGGATTATGTGGTGATCCTATATATGGTCTCCCATCATGTCCAAATGAGAGACAAAAGAGAAGAAAACCGATGCTTGCAGTTGTATTTTCTTTGTTGGGGATTACAGTACTAATTTTGATCGTCATAGCCTTGGCATATGCAATTGGAAGATACCGAAGGAAAAATTTGGTCGAAAATAGAGTAAACTTTGCACCTGGCACAACTCTATGGGTCTCGTATTATGAACTTTTGCAAGCAACTGAAGGGTATAGCGAGAGCCATTTGCTTGGGACTGGGAGTTTAGGCTCTGTCTATAGAGGGACTCTCAATAATGGAAGGGATATTGCAGTGAAGGTTTTCAATTTGCAGCAACAAAATGCATTAAAGAGTTTTGATGTAGAATGTGAAGTATTACGCAACCTTCGCCATAGGAATTTGCGCAAAGTCATTAGTACTTGCTCCAATCCAGATTTCAAGGCCTTAGTTCTTGAGTACATGTCTAATGGAAGCCTTGAGAAGTGGTTGTATTCGGACGAATATGTGTTGGATATCTTGCAGAGAATTAACATAATGATAGACGTCGCACATGCATTGGAATATCTGCACTATGGCTACTCAACACCTATTGTTCACTGTGATTTGAAACCAAGTAATGTTCTGCTGGACGAAGATTTGGTTGCTCACTTGAGTGATTTTGGAATTTCCAAGTTGTTGGGTGAAGGAGAAAGCAATGCGTACACTACAACCCTGGGAACCTTGGGTTACATTGCACCAGGTAAAGCTCCTATCTTTTACTCCCATCTTTTCTCTTGTGCATTTAGGGTACATTTGTTCTACCAGTTTAGACCACATAAGGGTAGTTTAGATTGTTAATATTCGTATTCGTTATTAACAAAAACAAAAACATAGTAATATTTTATAAATTTTTAGATGTATTGTAGATTACTATATACAACCACACATAATGCAACTTATATATACATTTCTAATGCAGAGTAACGACAACGTAATACAACTAATGAATTTTATAATGTTTTATGTAGAGTATGGATTGGAAGGATCCGTGTCAATAAGATGTGATGTTTATAGCTATGGCATTATGTTAATGGAAGTATTTACAAGAATGAAACCAAGCGATAAAAAGTTCTCAGGAGATTTAAACCTAAGGAGCTGGATAAACGATTCTATGCATGATGCAATTACTCATATTATAGATTCGAACTTGTTGGAGCCAGAAGAGCGCAACACAAAGAAGTTGAGAAGTTTGTCATTTGTAATGGAACTTGCTTTAAATTGCTCCATGGAGAGTGCCAGTGAGAGGGTGAACATGAGAGAAGTTGTAGCAACATTGAAGAATATTAGATTTCAGCTCCTGACTTGAGAGCAGTTTTAAATTTAACATTATGTTCTCTACGTATTATATTATTATTCAATGATTCCGTGGAGAATATATATTTTGCCTGTAAAGTTATGTAACATGCAATGAAATTTAGTTCAAATTTTCTTTTACAAGTCGAATTCTCTAGATGTCTTGAATGCATTCTAAAAGTCCGTTGAAATTTTATATTTTGTTTATAAATGTTTTTGCTTTCTAGAAGTCGAAAATATGTACACACAAAATTCATGTAAACAAAACTCGGGAAAGGCCGAATTCAAGTGGACCAATAATATAAAAAATGATTGGGACAATTTCATAAACAAGAGCATAAGAATATCTCATTTCAATATCGAGAAAACGAGTTTGAAATTTTTCACAAATTAGATTTTTATTAAAATTTATTTATCATTTAATTAATTAATTAAATATATTAAAGTCACAAATTTATACAATATGGTCATAGATTCACAATTTAGTTAGTGTACATATTATTTTTCGATAAAAAATCATAATTTTTATACGTCACAAATTATTTTACGGTCATATTTCAAACATTTTATAGGTCACACTTTGTTCATCGGTCACAGATCAAAAATTTTGCAGGTCGCAGATTATTTCGAGGTTACAAATCAAAATTTTATAGGTGACAATTTGTGTATCAATCACCAATCAAAAATTTTGTGGAACACAGATTATTTCAAAGTTGCAAATCATAAACAGTTTATCTGTCGGTCACATATTTTCAAATTTATTAGTCACATATTAATTTTTAATCACAAATTGTCAAATTTTAAGGTCACAGTTAGTCCAAATAGTTGGCCAAACACCCCACCACCGATCCCGATCCACCACCAATCTTGATCACAAATCACCACCAAATAGTCATAGCCCGCACCACACCACACCATACCACCACAACCACCATATCATCACCTGCATCGTACCACTACCATTAAAAAAAACACCACATTCGCTGCCTGCAAGCCGACACCACTTCACTGTCACACCGTCGCTACCACCACCACCAAACCCACAGTCACCACTGCATCCAACACCATCACCACCATTGCCAACAACAACTTGGACAACTACCATCGCACCACCACCACCACTAGACAACGACCAACACCACTACCACTTCATAGCTTGCACCACCACCACACGGCCACCACCATCAAATGCTCACAACCAATAAAATTCACCCTCGATTTTCAGCACCAATTCGTAACCACATTTCCACATATCGGGACTATCAAAACTCAACAAAACACACACACATAGAAACTAACCACTATACCACAACAATAGCCGTCGCCAATGGTGGTGGGTTTTTGAGATACCACCACCGCACCCAACCATTGCACCACCCACCGTCGCACCGCAACCGCTAGGTCTACCACCACAAAACTGCCACCGCACAAAACACAACCCCAAACCCTTAATCTGATTCCCCTGTCTTTCTCAATATTTTCCCTCTCTCGTCAAATGGAGCTCATCACTGTAAGCCTCTGAGCAGCGGCTTCGCTGTGAGCTCCATTTCACGTTGCCGTTCGCAATATTGGGGAAGCCGTACGATGACCGCGAAACCAGAGTGCCTCTGCAGCGTTGCAAAAGGTTGTTTGACGGTAGCTCTAATGAAGGGAGGCGACTGGGTTAGGATAAATGTTGAGAGAGAATGGAGGGCGACGACTGGCTGCGAGAAATGTTTAGAGAGAGAGGTGAGTGGAATATATATTTTAATATTATGTTTAATTAAATAACTTCTGATTTTAGAAATATTAAACATGCCATCTGAATTATGAAATGGGATCTTGAAATCTATTAGAGTTAAATGTTCCAACGGTCACTGAACTTTGCACTTCGTCACAAGTTACTCACCCAACTTCACAATGCTTCTCAGTAGGCACTGAACTTAGATCCGTTACACTCTATCAATCACCGGATGAATTCCATCCATGATTATATCGACGTGGAAGACGAAAAAATGACGAGGCCAATAATTGGTAAATTAAATGGACACGTAGACTCCACGTCAACCAAACACGCCTTGAAATCAAAATCACCAAACCACCCCACTGCATGCCACCCTCACCAAACCAAACCACCAACACACTGCCACCTTCCACCACCACCACCACTACCCATTCCCTTCATCTTCTTCTCACATACCCCGCCTGCACTATCTTCTTCCCTACCCATTTCTTCCCACAAACTTTCGTTCTGTTTAATAACAGCAGCTCATATTCATTATCGATATTAAAAGCCAATTTTGGGTGTTCATTTTCAATTCAAAATCCTCAAACCCTAATTCTATACTCGTAAATGCAAAATAAAAGAGATATAGATGCAGAGATTGTACAGCATACAACACTGATATATTATTAAGGTCAATTTTATCTTCATGAGAAATTGAAGTATTTTCAGTTGTTTACACAAATTGATCATTGATGCCTTTGAAATGTGTGTTACAACACTTCTTAGGAACAAATCATTGAAAATTATAGGGTTAAATACACTAGTGGCCACCCAACTTTAAACTTTGTGTCCACATGGCCACTTAACTTGATTTTGTTTCACCATGGCCACTCAATTTTATATTTAATGTCATCATGGTCACCCAATTTGATTTTATTTCACAAAGGCCATTCAATTTCATATAACACTTCATTATGGCCACTGAATTTCATATAACATTTCACCATGTCCACTCAATTTCTTTTTACCATTCTCATTAATTTTAAAAGGGGTAAAACGGTAAATTTGTATTATATATACAAAATAAATTTTTAAAAATTAAAATAAAAACTTATTTAAAAAACAAAATAAAATAAAAACTTATTTAGGCTCTATTTGGGACAGATTAAAATCAAA